TGATGCTGCTTGGCCTGCTGTGTTCATCCAGCCCTGCACCTTGTTGTTTCTAATTATCAGTGTGTTTTTGTTTTGGATTTCCAGCATCTGCAGTATTTTGCCTTTACTTATTATATTTTACACTTCCTCTTTTCTTTGGGTTAAATCTCAAACTTTGTACACTGTTAGCAATGTCCATAACCATTCCAAAATAGATTAAAAGGAAGAGGAGTATCCATTAAACAAGACATGATTGTTGACCATCTACCAGACAAAAGAGTTGAATTTTTTTGGTAGATGTTGTATCAATTTATATCTTCATCCAAGTCATTTGTGTAAATTGTAAAAAGTTGAGGCCAAGGACTAATCAATGTGGCACACTATTCATTACATCTTTCCAATGACCTATTTAAGTCTGTTTTCTGTTTGCTAATCCATCTTCCATCCATACTAATTTGATACCACCACACCATGAACTTTTATTTTCTACAATGTGGCACCTTATCAAATCCCTTCTGGAAATCTAGAGTAGAATAGAATCCCTACAGTGTAGAAACAGACCATTTGGCCCAACAAGTCCTCACCCACTCACTAAAGAGCATCCCCACACAGACTCCCTACCCTATAACCCTGCATTTCCCATGGCTAACTCACTTAACCTATACATCCCTGGACACTGTAGGCAATTTAGCATGACCAATCCACCTAGCCTGCACATCTTTGGACTGTGGGAGGAAACAGGAGCACCTGGAGGAAAGTCATACAGACACGGGGAGAACGTGCAAACTCTACACAGACAGTCGCCCGAGGCGGGAATCAAATCTGGGTCCCTGGTGCTGTGAGGCTGCAGTGCTAACCACTGAGCCACCATGCCGCCCTGCTAAGTACCATACATCCATCAGTTACCCTTTTGTCCAAGGCACATCACTCAAAAATATCTTTACTTTTTAGTTAGCATTGAGCACTTTCATATCCTCATTTAATCTGCCTTATTAATACTCTGAGGTTTGTTGAACCAGACAACCAGTTTGCAGTTTATGTACACATATGATCCTCTCTGCAGAGATTGCTACTCCATTTTTGAAAAGGAATTTGAATTACCAGCTAGTTCCTGAAAGGATGATGGAAAGATTTTGCATTTCTTATGCTTGTACTGAAACAAATTGGTATTTCTATTGACTAAACATGATTTGTGCAAGGCAGAACAGTCTTTTACGGTAAAAGATTTTCGTGGAGGTACTCTTGCTCTCTATAGTGCAAGCTAAACAACTTGTCCAGCCAAGTGAGAAATCTTTCTGAATTTGGTCTTTTCAATCAGAATATTAGCTTCCATTTGCACGCCTGCATAGTGGACCTTAGAGAGTGACATCCAACTGTTCTTTCTCTTCCGGATCCTAGCAGATTACCTCTGTCTGTGAGTTTTCAAGGTTATCTGAGATGCACTTTCCCCCTCAAAGCCCATTACCATGGCAATGTGAATCATGTGGGCCTTTATCCTTTTAGAAATACTTTTTTTTTAAATCAACCTGTTCAGGAGTGTTCTGACTCACTTCTGGAGCAAGCATGACTTAGACCCACACCTTCTGGGGACACTACCACTGCACCATAAGAGCCCAGCCATGTAGATTTAGACAATACTGAATAACCAATTAACTTTCCTCAAGTTTTTTTTAATCTAATCGACCTGTTCAGAAATGTATTAGCTATTCTTAAGACTCAACTCTATTCTAATTTTAGAATAAATGAATAATTTATCAACACCTTTCTGGGACTATAGAAACAAACAAACAATCTAACCACTGTAAAGATCTAGCTGCAACTGTCTCCAAGTACAAATACCGTACACCTCCCCAGAGAAAAAAACCTGGGCCTCTCTTTTGTGTAATAGCCACATCACCAGGCCTGTTGTCAGGTAGACTTCAGACTAGGTGACATAACCACTTTCAGGTTTTAGCAAACATCTGTAGCTCGGGTGATGGGTGAGGTTGTTGACTTGCTTGCTGAGCGTGCAGAATCAACGTAGTTTACAAAATACCATGCAACAACAGCCACAAACATTACATCGGACAGACAGGAAGGAAACTAGCCATCAGAATACACGAACATCAGCTAGCAGCAAAACGGCATGACGAACTCTCCTTAATATCGGTACACTCAGACAATGAAGACCATCAGTGTAACTGGGACAAGGTAACCATAATAGCCCAAGCCAAACATAGAGGTGTGGTTCTCCACCTGTAATGCAATCAACAAACATACAGAATTGGACCCCATATACAAACCCATACAGAACAAAAGTTGGAAATGACACTACTCACCATAATGGACCGGACAGTATAAATTTCGAGCAGAGTAGAACAACATCGCTTCATCGGAGGCCTCACTGATGATGTTACCTAGCATGGTGACAAAACGTTTGAACCAAAACAAGCCAGCTCGGCAATCAAGTCAACAACCTCATGACCACTTTCACTATACAGGCAGTCCCTGAGTTGCAAATGGGTTCCCTTCTTGAGTCCGTTGCAAATCAATTTGAATGCAAGTGGGAATGTAATGCAGAACAATATAAAATAGCCACTTATAAGTATGAGGGAACATTCATTTGTCAGACCTCTAAAATTAATATTAATGCATTCCTGCATGGGATAGTGTTTTTAAGTTGAATGTTCATAAATCAATTCCCTCTGTAGTCTGAAGTCAAAATATCAAAACATACAATTTAACCCTGGTTTATAAGATTTTTCACTCAACTAGATATTTACCAAAAATCCTTAGACATCCCCTTTTGCACAACCCACAACTACTTCCATCTAGAAGGACAAGGGCAGAAGATACATGGGAACACCACCACCTACAAGTTCCCCTCCAAGCCACTCACCATCCTGACTTGGAAATATGTCGCTGTTCGTTCACTGTTGCTGGGTCAAAGCCCTGGTATTCCCTCCCTAAGAACATTGTGGTTCAACCTACAGCTCATGGACTGCAGTTCAAGTAGGTAGCTCAATACCACATTATCAAGGCAACTAGGGACAGGCAATAAATGCTGACCATCCAGTGACACCCAAATCCTACAAGTGAATATGGATTTTAGAGCCATTTTGGTAATATAGTTGGGATGTAAACCATCTTGACGGATTATGGAATTACTACCAATTATTAGCCTTATGCACATCACTTTCCCCATTTGGATAGTTTGAGTAAGTTTAATCCTTACTTAAACTGAACAGGCAGTTGATCTTTATGTGAGTTCTTTATCAAGAAACACTGCATCTCCTCTGGGATTCTACCGATCAGCTCCTGTAATACTGGTGAGAAACCTCAGCTAAACACCATGAACACATTTCCACTCCTCTTCAAAGCTTCACCATTTCAGGCTCCTTGCGCGTTTAATATTTGGCTTTATGAGAAGCATAGCCTGAATCTGGAGGGTTTTGATTCTTTGTCTTGCATGAGTGTACAGAATCTTGTAAACATTGGTTACTGTCTGTAATATGTGATTGAAATTACTGTAGAAAACCAATTTCCTAATTGATAGATTTATACTTGAAATATCATCGAGATGTTAGATTTTCTTCTTTGTCACTGGCAAGGCCAGTATTTATTGCTCATTTCTGGATGTCCTTCAGAGGTGGTGGTGAGCTGCTGCTTCTACCATATGATCTGCAACGTTCAAATGTACCTATAATGCTGTTGGGTAAGGATTTTAACTCTGCACCAGTGAGGGAACAGCAACAGCTCACAGCAAGTTAGAATGGTTGTGAATTATAGGAAACTTGCAGGTGATGGCATTCCAGAGCTGTCCTTTTCTGTGTAAGCAGTGGAAATCTCAAGTTTACAAGATGCTGTCAAAGAATCTTTTATTCTAAACCACGCGCCATGTGGATAGTGAGCAATAAAATGCCTATCAGTGTCGGTGTGTTACCATTTCTTTTCATTGTTTTACAACATGATTATGGTGTTATTACTAAAATAGCTTTTCTTTTAAAACAGGGAAGCCTGCAGATTCTTTCATTACACAGCTTGCTAGCTTGCATGTTCCCTTGCCAGAAACGTCTGAAATGTTCTGCTCACCTCTACCTTCCACTCATCCAGTATTGAATTGTGAAGACAACATAGATTTGTTGAACAATGGTAATTACAAAACCGGGGCAGTTATTAAAGGAATGGGCTTGTGGTCATAAAGTATTTATACAATTAGTTCTGTACAGCCCCATTAGTATGTTGATGTACAGTAATAACAATTAATATTTCAGGTCAGATCATGTTACATATAATACTCTCTGAGCTGCAAGATAGTTTTGATAGGATTATATCAAATGGAATAATTCCAATCAGACTCAGAAATCTTGCACAAATGTAATGGTTAGTGTCATACAGAAAGATATTGTTGAAAATCTGTAATAACAAGAGTTTGTACTTTATCCAGAAACATCTGTACCTGATCCTATTTCACCTATCGCTTGTAAAAAAAAAAAAAAGCCTTTGCATACCATGCATAACATTACCCATGTGCAACACTGAAGATGTTCAGAGTACCCTGAGCAAGTTATGTAAGAGACTAGTGTAGAACTGCAGGGTTTTTGTTTATACATTTTTATCTCTCCTGACTGACTTTTGTCTTTATTCTCTGCAGTGCACCAACAGGATTCACTTCCTAGACCATCTGTTCCTTCAAGTCTCTGGAGCTCTACTTTAGAGTCACCCCGTGACAAACACGGTGTGCCCGAGATGGTAAGATTAGCAGCGCATTTGGCATTTCAAACATATCAGCTGAACATTTCCATAATTAAAGATTACTGGGCATCCAATGTATTACATCTGTTTGCCACTGATTATCGTAATATTGGGGTCCTATTTATTGAGGATCAGAAATTCACCAGAAAGCAATTAATTAGAGGTTGCTGACTGAGTTAACTCAGTGTCAAATATATAAAGAAGGAAGAATGGAAAAGAATATGAGGAAAAGAGAACAATGTCCTTAAAGACCCATCATTGACACAGGCTGAATGCCTTCTTAATTTCTGCCCTTGTGTAAAAAGGTGTAAATGATTAAGGATGGCCAGGAATTTTATGAACTGGAATTGTTATCTTTGGGGTTCTGCTCTTCAATTTGGTGCCTAGCTCCTCATACTGTTGAGTCAGAACCTCTTTCCTGGTCCTACCTGGGTTGTTGGTATCTGCAAGGAGCACAGCAATTGAATCTGTGCACTCCCAGTTCCTCCCCACCCCCTTGGCAAATGTCCCTAACCCTGGCACTGGTTAGGTAACACAGCCTTCTGGACTTGCAACCTTAGCTGCACAGAACAATGTCTACACGCCTCTCTTTTATTGTTCCTTCTGAACATTACATTCGTTTTTGCTGTTCCTAGTTGAAAGACTTCCTGGACCACCAGTCCATGGTCAGTTAGCTCATCCACCCAGTAGCTCTTGCTCATCCAGACAAGCTGAAAGATTCTCAAACCTTTGGAAAAATTGGTGAAGCTAAGACTCCTGCCCTTTGGGCCCCTTACTTGCCTCACTCTCGGTCATATCCTCCTTTCCCTGACCACTGACCAAACCAGAAGATCTTCTCCAAAGGTGAGTGATAGCTTCCTGGTGCAAAATATCCAGGAAATATCCAGTGTCTGTAGTTCGGCCTCCAACTCATGAGCACTGAGCCAAGGTTGCTCGAGCTGCTAATGCAGACGTGTTTGCGCTGATCACATTGGCATCCAAAATCTCCCATATACCACACCATGACACAGCAACTTCCTGCCAACATTAATATTTGTTTCAAGTTAACTTTATCAATCACTTATTTGTTGATTTTTTAATATGTAATTATCACGACCACCAGTTCCTGTACTATTTTAAATTTTAGGAATAGGACTTTAACACTTCCTTTATTCATTTATGGGATGAGGATGTCGCTGGCTAGGCAGCATTTATTGCCCATCTCTAATTGCCCAGAGGGCACTTAATAGTCAACCACATTGCTGTGAGTCTGCAGTCACATGTAGACCAGACCAGGTAAGGATGGCAGTTTTTTTCCCCTAAAGGACATTAGTGAACCAGATGGGTTTTTTCAACAATTGACAATGGATTCATGGTCATCATTAGATTCCTAATTCCAGATATTTATTGAATTCAAATTCCACCATCTGCCGTGGCAGGATTCGAAGCCCAGTCCCCAGAGCATGATCTGGGTCTCTGAATTAATAGGTCAAGTGATAATACCACTAGGCCATCGCCTCCCCACTTACCAGATACTCTCAAAACAACCAGATTCTTCCCTTTGTAGAACCAATTACAAGCTGCCAGCTGTTGGCCTCTGCGACACCTCCCCTTCACTCAGGGGAGGTCATGGTGGATCTGGATAGGGAAGTAATGAGGGAGCTGTTCCTCATTGGTGGAAGGATTGGATACCAGGGAACACTGACTTAAAGTGAATGGCACTAGAGCCAAGGATGAGATGAGATTTTTTTCAAAAAAATACTAGTTTGAGCACCTTTTATTGAAGTGCTGGCAGAGAGATAGGGAAGATAGATTTAATTCTGATTTTCAAATAGAAATTGGATAATTATCCAGAGAGAAGCATCATAAATCTATGGAGGAAAGGTGAGGGAGTGGGACTAGCCCCGTAGCTTTTGCAGAAAGCCAGTCCAGACGTCACAAACTAAACTATTCTTTCCTGTGCGATAACCATTCCATGATTCTGTGTACAAACGTTTCTGCAATCATGCACTTGATTTTTCCATTCATTTTCATCCTTGAGAACAACTTTCCTAATCCTTTCTCTTAATTTCATCCCCACGCCCACCTACTACCACTATTTAACCTTTCATTCACGCCAAAGGGCAGAATACACCTATTTTGATGATGCAGAAAGGAACAATGTCATATATGAGCAACACTTAGTTCTTAGCTGGAAAGGTAATATATCTCTGGTACCCAGTTGTACATTTTCATGTATGTGTCTCCATATCAATTCCTGTTCATGTTATAATTTGTTCTATCTGGTTTGTTCAGGGTGAATTCAGCAACATACATCTCCAGGAATCCAATAACCATCCTGCTACATTCAACTGCATCTGGTCCTTACAGGACCTGAAGGAAGCCACTGATAATTTCAACGAAAAGTATAAGATTGGCTCAGGAACATTTGGCCATGTCTATAAGGGTCACCGCTTCAATACCGAGTACGCCATAAAACTGCTAAAGAAGGCACGTCTCTTCACCTTCTAATAATATAGATTCCTGTGATGATCTTGCTCAGCAGTGTGTAGCTTGCTTTTTAATACATCTATATTAACAATGTCTAAAAATATTTTGACGCGAGAAGGATCTGATGATCACATGTTTTCCTCAGTCACTTTAAACAGCTGGTTTTAAAAGTTGCAAAAGAAATAACAGAACTGCTGTTTGCTGCCAGAGATGAAAGGGTTGGTTTTTCAAATCTGTAGGTGACAAGTGAGTATAAGCCAAGGCAGACTATCCTCACACTCCCAGAGTATCAGGTCCAACTTTATCTACTGGGCTCCGTGTGTCTACCACGTGAACCCGGAGGACAGTACAAGCAGGGCCACGTGAGAATCTGTGCAACTGCAAGCCGTCACTTTGGTTCTGATGCAACAATCCCTGGAAATCGATTCGGTCAGAAGTGGCTGGGAATGCGGTGGAAAACAGGATCGGCTGAGTCTCACAGTTGCAGGATCGTAGAATCCCTATGTTGTAGAAGCCGGCCATTCAGCCCATAGAGTCCACGCCAACCCACCAAAGAGCATGGCACCCAGGCCCACACCCCTGTCCCTGTAACCCCTGCATTTCCCATGGCTAACCCACCCAGCCTGCACATCTTTGGACAGTGGGTCGAAACTGGAGCACATGGAAGATACCCACAGAGTCCCGGGGAGAAAGGGCGGCTGTCTGTGTGGAGTTTGCACAAGGGTGGAATTGAACCTGGGTCCCTGGCGCTGTGAGGTAGCAGTGCTAATCACTGAGCCACCGTGGTCCATGAAGTGTGGAGGTGCCCAAGAGTTCCATGCTGGATCAAAAGAGAGAAGTTGCCCTCCTCCTGGCCTTTAAGGGAAAGTAAAGAATAAAAGGAACTTGCCCCTCTTGATATTGGAGTTTGATCAGTATATTTAATGTACTGCTCTGCTCTTTAGTGGGTAATCCCTCTTGCCTATTCTAAAGAGTTGGTTAAAAAATATAGCCTGAGGCAAGACTGCAGTCTTGGCCCAGGAAAATGAATTGAGCCATTTAACTCCAGTTTCCGCTGGTTTAGTAGGATTTAAATTAGCCCTCTGAGATCTGTCAGAATAACTCACTTGTTCACGTTGGCTCAGTGGTTAGCACTGCTGTCTCACAGTGCCAGGGGCCTGGGTTCAGTTCCAGTCTTGGGCAACTGTCTGTTTGGCGTTTGCATGTTTTTCCTGTATCTGCGTGGGTTTCCTCCGGGTGCTCCAATTTCCTACCACAGTCCGAAGATGTGCAGGTTAGGTGGATTGGCCATGCTAAATTGTCTGTAGTGACTAGGGATGCCCAGCCTACATTGATTAGCCGTGGAAAAAGCAAGATTATGAGGATAGGGTGGGGGGTTGAGATGCTCCGCAGAGGGTCAGTACAGTCTTGGTGGGCTGAATGGCCTCTTTCCACACTCTGGTTATTCTATAGTTAGTCTGAATAATTGCAGTTCTTTGAAAATTGCAAGTACAGCAATTAACAACATCCTGTGGCATTTTAATAGTGCTTCAGATTTATTAGTTTTGTGGCCATTCTGGTATTGTCGGGGAAGGTGCCTACATATGAGATTGCATACAAACTGAAATAACTGTGTACTCAGTACTGTTGATACCAGTCATTCTAAAGAGCTCACTTCCCATCAGCCCTTCTTACCAGCAAGAATATCTTTGTGGTACAGGTGATATAATAGTATCTTGTATTTTACTTCCCCTTTTTAAAACACCGCCTTTTTGCCAGTCCATATAAATAGATGATTTTGTTGGGGCCAATATAAGGGAAACTATTGTCCAGGGAAAAATGAGGAAATGGCAGAGATATGAACAAATATTTTGTCTGTCTTCACAGTAAACACACAGGTTGAATACTGGAAATAAAGGCAACCTAGGTGTTTAAAAAGTCAGGAAATTAAAATAATTAATATCTGCAGAGTAAAATTAATGAACAAACTTGAGGGACTACAGTTCAACAAATCCCTAGGACCTGACCACTAACAGGCTAAGGTCTAAAAGAGAGAGCTGCAAAGATGATGAATGTGTTGACCACGATTTTCCAAAAGTTCCTAGATTCTAGATCATTCCCAGGAGATTGGAAGTAGCAAACGTAACACTGCTAACCAAGAAAGAAGACAGAGAAAACGGGAAACTCCAGACCTGTTAGGTTGATATGAGTCATTGGAAAAGTACTGAAATCTATTATTATGGAAGTCTTAATGATGTATTTAGTTCTCACGTGGTCAGCATGGTTTCCAAATAGGAAACTGTTTGTTTGACAACTTATTAGAGCATTTTGATGTCACAACAAATAGAGTAGGCAAAGGGGCATTATGGATCTATTGCCTAGATTTCCAAAATGCACTCTAAGGTGCCACACAAATGGTTCATAAATAAATAAGGTAATAAATTAGCACAGGTAGAGGATTGGTTAATGATGGAGACCAGACAACTGGCATC